AAGAAAGGTCCAAGCTTTCAAGTTGCTTCAAATCTGAGAGGGTAGAAGGTATGGGTCCAGTTAAGTTGTTGTGGGACAAGTTAAGTGAATGAATGCCACTTAAGTTTCCCATTGCAAGTGGGATTAAGCCTGTTAATTGGTTACAAGAGAGATCAATTTCAGACATGTAATCAAGAATGTTGCCTTCATAAGTGTAAGACCACCGCTTGGTAACAAGTTCTATCCAATGTTGTCCATGGCTACCCAATTGTGTATGTACCTCTTGCATTAATCTAGCTTCCATTTCTGTCGATGTGTCAAAGTTAATTGTATCAGAATCGATAATCTCACTCCATGATGAAAATGAATTCGGAGCGCCAATTAAATGTCCGAAACAAGAAGGTATATAACCAGAAAGTTGATTATGAGACAAATCCACGATTCGTAGTTGGTCCAACTCACACATTTCATTTGGAATTTCACCAAAAAAGAGATTACCTTTTAGACGCAAGATCCTCAAGGAAGAAAGATTGCTGATCCATTTTGGAATGCTTCCAGAAAGGTTGTTTTCTCCAAGATCAAGTGTCTCCAATGAAGAGATGTTCAAGAATGAATGTGTTAGAAGACCATTTAGTCTATTTTTGCTCAAATAGATATGTGATAAGTGTTGTGAGGGTAGACTAGAGCAATGTGGTAGAGACCCAAATAAATTGTTGTGAGATAGGTCGAGAAGCCAAAGGTGAGCATTATAGCAAAATTCCTCTGGAATTGAACCATCAAAGTGATTGTTGGATAAATCCAATTCAATCAAAGCAGGGATATTCTTTGTCCGTCTTGGAAGCTTTCCTGACAAATTGTTGTTGCTAATGTCCAATATGCTTAGAGGTGAAAACCTAGAAAAGTGGATATTGGATATCTCTCCTTCAAAATTGTTTCTGTCCAGATACAATTCATCCAATGATTCGGACTTAAATAAACCAGGAGGTATTTTCCCAATCAAGTTGTTATTTGAAAGTCTAAGATAAAGTAATGATTCTCCTATAACAAACTCTTTTGGTAATGTTTCAGAGAATTGGTTGCTAGACAAGTCTAAAAATTTTAAAGAGTTCATACTAACCAACCACTTAGAAAATCCTCCTCCAAAGCCATTGCCAGACAAGAATAACCATGTTAAATATGGAAAAATCATACTGATATTTAATGGGATTTCACCTTGTATTTGGTTATTCGAAATATCTATTTCCCAAACATCAAGATTAGGCTGTGATGGCAAGTGGAAAGAACCCATGAAAGAATTGTTCTTCAAAATAGCAACCTGTAATCTCGTATTATTTTCAAACAACCAATAAGGTAAGGCCCCCATAAATTGGTCAAATGAAAGATCAACATATCTCAAGTCATATAGGTAATAGAGAAGGCTAGGAGGTTTAGTGATTTCCTCATTTTCCGTACAGTTTGACAAACTAAGGACTCTTGGCTGGAACTTGGGAACCCTTGTTTGAACATGATCATGTTCTGGAACCAATTGATTGAAATCACTGAAGAAGACTTTAAGGTTGGAATGGTTTGCAAAGGACTTGAAGGAATCTGGAACTTGAAATTTATTAGTAGAAATTGAGAGATATCGGAGCAAAGTAAGATTAATTAGGGGAGAAGATGCTACATTTCCAGTGAATAGATTTTGGGAGATATCCAGAAATTGAAGAGATGTCAAGTTAGCCAAGCAAGAAGGTAGTATCCCTACCAATTCATTTCCAGAAAGATCCATCTCTTCAAGGTTCTTCAAATCACACCAACCATGAGTTGGTAAGGTTCCTGTGAATCCACATTTTCTTAGAGATATTGACCTGAGAGAAGTCAATGCACCAATATTTTGCAGAAAGTTTATGCTAAGAGGGAATTGATCCAAGAAAAGTTCCTCTAGCTTGCTCAAAACTTGCAAATCTGCAAAATGGTTATCATATTAGTTGTGAATATGTGTTTGCCGAAAAAAAAATTATGAGTATATAGAAATTAATTTAAAAAACACAAGCAATAATATTGTAGAATGCCATCTATGTAATACTTACTTTGAATAAACATGGTTTGGTTTGGATGATAGTTATATGTCAAATAGAGTCTCTTAAGTGATGGGAATGCCTTTAGTGATAACTGTGCTGGCACATTGCTTTCCTCAGGAAATATTCCATCAAGATAAAGAGTTTTTAATTTGCTAAAGCTTGTATTTTCTGTGGATGATAAAAAGAAAATGAAGATTATGTTGAAGAGTTTTGAACAAAACCTATAGTTAGTTGAAAGATACGTCTCTATCAAAACGAAAAATAAAACAAACATATAGTCACAATGTCATTTGATTGATACCATTAGTGGAAACGAATTGGTTGAATTTGTTGTTGCTTATTTGTAGCTCTTCTAAGCATCTTAAAGAATCAAATTCTAGGAGAACCACAAAAAAAGTTATTAGATCACACATAAGTAACAAATAAACTGCTTTCAATGTCTTAGCAAGAAAGAAAAAAAGATTAAGTATGCCTCAACTTACTTGCGACATCTACTAATCCTCTTAGATTATTATGTTCTATATTCAGAGATTTTAGATTTGAAAATTCATTGACGGAAGATAGCACACTATTGTTGAAGAAATTATAACTCAAATCAAGGACATCGAGATGGACAAACCTCAAATTTTGTTCATCTGCAAAAAATATATGATCTCATTACAACCAATTTTGTTAATATTAAATATTAACTTAGGAAACAAATTAAATATATGTACCTTGGGAAGATTCGAGGCTTTCAATGTCATTATAG